TACAGCAGGCACATGTTTAGGTTTTGAGAAGCACAAAAATCATATTCCTGTGTGTTTTTAGCACCTGACATACTGCAGTTCAGTATCTGTTCAACAGTACATATAATTATTTCAGGGGCTGGGGATTTAGCTCAGCGGCACAGCGCCTGCCTGGCAAGCACAAGGTCGTGAGTTCAATTCCCGGTACCGGGAAAAAACCAAAACCAAAAAATAATAATAAGAATAATAAGAATAATTTCAGTACTGTATTACAGTCCTATTGTTTCAAAACTCTATAGATCAACCAGTATGTCAAAGTTGGATAAGTAACTGGTATATTTTATTTATTTGGATTGCCTTTTTAGTTAAAAGTAGCTCTCAGTTACTCTAGTTTTCTTGCCACAAAACACTGGCAAAGAAAACACTAGTCTGAAATTACCTGATTCTATACCCACCAAATAATACATTTGAACTGTTCACACCTCATTGTAAAAGAGACACAATTTTAGAGACTATGCTTCCAGTTTGGGAAGCAAAGTGACTCAGAAACCACATTAGGGGCCAGGGATATAGCTCAGCAGCACAGCGCTTACCTGGCAAGCACAAGGTCCTGAGTTCAATTCCCAGTACCAAAAAGCAAAGCAAAGCAAAGCAAAGCAAAGCAAAGCAAACCAAAGCAAACCAAACCAAAGCAAACCAAAGCAAACCAAAGCAAACCAAAGCAAACCAAAGCAAAGATACCACATTAGGAGTAGCCAGTCCGGAACAGATGTTTACTGTAAGACTGCAAACTCTGACAGTTCACTGTTAAAACAATTGAGATGGCCTAGGATCTGTGATAATAAAAGTCCTTTATGGTATTTATCAAGCAGATTATGTCTGAAACTGCATGTTGGTCTAGAAACCTTTCAGCAGAAATCTGGCCCTCTACTATGTTAATCTGTATACACAATCATTTTTCTCTGACCTTCAGTTTGCACAAATCAAATCCATAAGCCATCCCTTATGTTGATATGACTACTGAAAACACTACTGCAATATAATGCTATTAGGTATGCAAAACTGCTGATTTTAGTGAAATTTTCCCACCCCAACTCCTCCCCAACCCCCTCTGCCCATCTTAAATCATTCAGAAAACTCTCAGCCCAGTGCTGGGATTTTACTTTCCATAGCACAGATTTAACTTTTTAAATGATATTTAAAAATAAATGATATTTTAAAAAAAATTTTTAAAGAGTCCTAGTGTATACTTTCCAACACCTGGAATGCAAATAAACCCTCTTATTTTGTGAATTATTTCATGATAAACTACGTTTCTCCTGAAAGATGAGAGCATCAATTCAAAGGCAGCCTCGGAAGTCACAATGTGTAAATACCTCTGATAACAGAACAAATTAATGTCAAGTCACAGCCAATAACATAATAAAGCCTCGATGCAACTACCGTGCTTGTCAAAGGGCATCTGTATTAGCAGCTCCGAGAGGTATCACTTGCAGAACTGCATTTAAAAGAAAATCATTTAGCCTCAGCCCTTAATCCCCTCCCCCACCCTCTGTCTCAGGCTGGGTCAGAGCAATTAACCAGTAGAAGGTGCTATTCTACAACCCACTAGTGTTCACACCAACCTCTATCCATGCCCAGAGCTGGGTTTACCCAAAGTAGCCTCTCAGTCCTGTCCAGGGCTCAAGGAAGCCCCACGCCAGTCCCAAAGCAGAAAACTGTATCTTTTCTTAAAAATCCCTATACCGGTATGTACAAAAACAACCACCTCACTGAGATCTCAACAGCCAGCAAACCTGACCATCACACCTTGAAACCACTAATCACACACACGTTCTCTCTCACTCACACTTGCTAATACTAACCTCAAATACAATCTATCATTTTAACTGAGACAGACATTTCACTAAGACAGTGAGAAAACAGGCGGGTCACATTCACTACAGTAAGAGTCAAGTGAACAAATCGCTGTCCCCAACAAAACTAGGGGCAATGAGGAATATGAAAGGACCAAGAGCTGACTCTAGGGGCCATGTCACATAAAGAGGGATTTTATCTCTACATACACAAAAAAGAAAGAGCAGCAGAAAGCAGGGAAGAAAGGGAGACAAAAAAGAGGAATCTCTGAACATGTTTCTGAGTGTCCTTTAGTTTTCCGTGTACTCTTCTGCCCTGCAAGGTTGCAAAAAAAAAAAAAAAAAAAAAAAAAAGGCCAGACATGAGAAGGGTGAAAGAAAGCTGAAAAAGAAAAGCACCCTCCCCGCCCCCGTCTTCTCTCCTCTCTCCCAAAAAGAGCTGTGTTTGTCTGTGCAAACCTAGTCCCAAATATGGGAGAGAGAGAATGAATGTGTGTATGGAAGAACAATGAACCCTCAGCCTGCCATTGTGTGTGTGTGTGTGTGTCTGTGTGTGTGTCTGTGTGTGTCTGTGTGTCTGTGTGTATGTCTGCCTCTTTTTCCTACGACCTCAACAACAGGGAGAGCTGGAAGCCAGCTTTCCAGCCAGGCTAGGCCAGCAAAAGCAAAACTGTTTTATAATTAACTCAGCAAGCAAATCCGTGGAAAGAAGCATCTACCCAAAGATGATTTTATTATTGTACAGATCCATCCTTCCTCCCCTCCCCCAACAGACCGAGACTAAAGAAACCAGTGTACACCAGACAAAAAGGTCTCTCTCGAAATGCAAAGCAATTCTCAAAGCTGTTTGAGATATGAACATAGCATGCGTTAGCTTGTGTTACATTACACGCCTGTTTTGTAATCCACCAAGTTCACCCTTTCACTAGTTACCATGTTTGTGTTTAAATAATTGCTCTGGAGGAAGCTATTTCAGGATTCACATAAAACTACTTTCTGAAATGGACCTTAAAATAGCAGCACATACTGAAACACTTAAAGCACCCCGTTTCCCAAGGACACACTTTGCTTACATCAGTGTTTGAAGTCTGTAATCCAGAAAAATTGTAAGCAAACCTTGGAAAAGAGACAGAGGAAAATGACAATCCGACAATGAATCATTTTGTTTTCTTTTCACCAACTTCTCAAACAACCGGTTTCAAAGGAAACCTGCAAGACTTTCCCCCTCCCAGCACACACATCCCTCCTTCTATGCACAACTTCTTCTCTACTTTCCACAGCCCTGAAAAAAAAGGAGAAAAAAAAAAAAAAATAGAAGCCAATCTCCTTCTGACAGCAGAACTAAAACAAGACGCTAAGAACCCCATCCTGCTGCAAGTAATCTTCGGTTTCATCATGTTGTGATCGCATGGAGCAGAGAACCAGGGATGCAGAGCACAAAGGAGGAGGACGCGCTCCCCTCGCGCGGAAACGATACTTTCCCGAGAGCGCGCCCCCAAGACCCCCACATCCACAAACATTCTAGAAACCCGCAGCTTCGCTCCCTCACTTCCTTCCCCTCCCACACTTCAGCCCGTAACTGAGTCACACGCGTCGGCTTCACCTCGCACGAGCACGAGCGCGCAGCCGCGGGCTCCAGCGGGAGC